AATATAGTTATGGAAATCTGATAGCTGAAGCGAACAAAGGCAATGCACCCTCTAGTATATATGTGTCTGTTCTGCTTCATGTAGTCAGGCATTGCTCACTATGCATCAAACATGCTCGACTAACTAGTCAGATGGATGCACTCGACCTTCCATATGTTGAAGAGGTGGGTCTGAGAAGTGCGTCCTCAAACTTATGGTTCCGGCTTCCTTTTGCCAGTGGCGATACATGGCAATACATATGCTTGCGTTTGGGGAGACCTGGAAGCATGTATTGGGATGTCAAAATCATTGATCCACACTTTAAAGACTTGTGGGAGCTTCAAAAGGGTAGCAATAATACTGCTTGGGGTTCTGGTGTTAGGATTGCTAATACATCTGATGTGGATTCCCATATTCGTTATGATTCAGAAGGTGTTGTGTTGAGTTACAATCATGTGGAGGCTGACAGTATTAAGAAGTTAGTCGCTGATATCCAAAGGCTTTCAAATGCTAGAATGTTTGCCCTTGGAATGAGAAAACTACTTGGTGCCAGGACTGATGAGAAATTGGAAGAGAGCCCTGTAAACCCTGACAGCAAGCCTTCTGCTGGAGCCAAATCTGTTAATGAGACACCTGAAAAGTTTTCTGAACAGATGAGAAGGGTATTCAGAATCGAAGCAGTTGGATTGATGAGTTTGTGGTTTAGCTTTGGTTCAGGGGTCCTTGCTCGCTTTGTTATCGAATGGGAAGCTGGCAAAGAGGGTTGTACAATGCATGTTTCTCCAGATCAGCTTTGGCCGCATACAAAGGTCTGTTTTTTGTCTGTGCTCCTCAAATATAGAACTTCCTCCCACGCATTCCTTCCTGGTTTCCCATTTACTTTTTCTGTTCTTGTATGACGTATAGAGCACCAAATGTATGCCACGATATGTGAAAGAAGAAATGTTTTCTATTCCCGAAAAGACCGTGATTAGTGCCAAACAGATAATAGACTTCACTTCTATTCGCCTGTACAATTTGTTCCATACATAGAAGATAGCAATTAGCTCAAATGAAAAATTGAAGCAACTGTAAAGTTAATTGTGAGGGTTGTTGACTTGGTACAGTACAGATAAGCTAATTTTGAAAGAAGCATGCGAGATTTGTGGTGATAAGATAGCAGTTTCTTTCTAGGATTTTATTTTTGTTGAGTATGTTGTATAGGAATCAAATGAGAAAATATTCTTGGGACTTAGATTTGGTGAATGTGATCCTGGAGTTGGCTTCTATTTGGGTACTGTCCCCTTGACTCCTAATTAAGGAATCTTACTGTCCAAGAGAAAGAACCAGCTAAATTTGTCTAGGTGTGTTGTATACTGCAGCTTGGTTTATTGAGTGTGTTGGTATTTCCTTACCAGGTTGCGAGACTTAACTTTGAAATGATAATGCAGGAATGTGAAAAAATTTGAAACCTATTGAGAACAAGGTGAAACCTACTTTGCATCTCAATTTTTAAATGATGTGATTAATCAATATGGTTGAGGCATATTCCTATGAGTGTCCTTTTACTGGGTGATTCGGTGAAGAGGTTTCAGCTTTAGCATTTGAATTTTTCATCTTCCATAATCTCCTGTTGGGAGAAAGAAAGCATGTGCTTCTCGTTTGTCTCTTGCAGTAAAATGGATCTATGAAGCATCTAGAATATTCGCTTAAGTTACTCAGCTAGATTGATGTCTCTTGGTTTTCTTTGGCCTGAAAGAACATAAAAGCTATTTTCACGGTTTCCTTTTTATGGTGGGTGTTTGGGGGGTGGGTGGGTTCTGTTTAATTATTAGCATCCAACGGGATGTGAGTACCTAACCTTAAGTGGTTTTCCAAGTATGATAAATGTGATTCCTTTTTTAACTCAATTTTCTCTTTTACTTGGCTAAAATAGCATATTTCTTGTTGTTTAAGTTATCATGTGTAATACGCATCAGATCAGTGTTCCTATGATTTATTGGGTTTCCTCATCTTAGGGGTTTCAGTGGTAGAATTGAAGAATGTCTACATACAATTTCTACGACGAAGTGTAGGTGTTTAGCTCTAATATTCTCGGTTTGCCAGGTGTCGGTTATGGAATCGAAGAATGTCTACCTGAAATATGTAGTGTGTGTTTGGTACACCGTATTGGAATAAGGGGATAGAATTAGGAAAGATAGAATTTGGGGTGGGGAGTGGGTGTGGGGATTGTATAAAGGTGGATTAGGGTGTATTGTATAAATACCGTGTTTAGTGCTTTAATGTATTAGAAAAGCATATTCAGTATTTTTGTCTAAGATTAAAATAAATGAAAGTTACTTTTAAGTGACTTTTTCTCTAAATATGTTTTGGATAACTTACTTTTTTCTTTCTTTACCTTTGTGTCAAAATATGTAACTTGTTTAAACTTTGATTATTTATTTTAAAAGTTAGTTATTTACTTTTGAGTAGATTTATTTCTAGTAAATTTGCAGGCAAAATGTATGGATAACTTATTTTTCTTTTACTGTTAATTAAAAAGAAAAAAAAATTTACATTTTATCTGTGTCAAAATAAGTAACTTTTTCTTAACTTTGATGAACAAAAAAGTTATTCATTTTATAACATACTTATTATCTTTTAAGTAGATTTACTTCTAGTAAATTTACATTTTGTCTACAGAATGTTTGGATAACTTATTTTTCTTTTACTGTTAATTAAAAAAATTACTTTTGTTAATAATACTAACTCACTATCAAAATAAGTAAATTAATTTTTGACTTAAATTAATAAAAAACTTATTTACTGAAAACACTAAATAAAATTTACACGTCATTTCAGCTAATCTTTTCCTTAATAATTGATGACATGTGAATTAGTAATACAGTGTAAACCCATCTATAAAGTGCCTTATTTTAATCTAGCTGACTGTAGGAGGATAAGCTCTCTGGATTAATTTAATCTGTGTATCATTTGCACCAAACAATGGATATGGTTTTATTATACCTTGTCAGGTCTAATATGGTGCACCAATTATTCTCGTAATGTCTACCTTGATGTTCAGGTCCTTAAACCAAGCATAATGGGAGTTGCAAAGGATAATCTTTCAACTTCTTTTCATTCTATTTGCTGCAGAATTTGCCCAGTGCTTGCTTCTCGTTTAAAGTTGCATCTGTTGATATGCTGATCAAATTAGTTTTCTCCTTCCTGGTTTCTCTTGACAAATTCATGAATTTATGGTTTTACTTTTGTTATACAGTTTCTGGAAGATTTTATCAACGGGGCTGAAGTTGCATCCCTTTTGGACTGCATTCGACTTACTGCTGGACCCTTGCATGCTCTTGCTGCTGCAACACGGCCTGCACGAGCTGCTCCTGTTTCTGGGGTTCCTGGTGTTGCAGCATCTTTTTCTTCTACTTTGAAGCAGAGTGGGTACATACCGTCTCAGGGTCATCTGCCAAGCAATTCTAACACAAATACAAGTCAAGCTTCCTCTGGTTCTGCAGGTAATCTTGGTGCACCTATCCCTTCTGGTCCTGTTGGGAGTCACAGCCACCATACTGCTACAATGTTGGCAGCGGCAGCAGCTGCTGCTGCTGGAAGAGGTGGTTCTGGCATTGTTCCAAGTTCTCTGTTGCCTATTGACGTTTCTGTTGTACTTCGCGGCCCATACTGGATTCGGATAATATACCGCAAAAACTTTGCTGTAGACATGCGGTGTTATGCCGGAGATCAAGTCTGGTTGCAACCAGCAACCCCGCCGAGAGGGGGTCCATCAGTTGGAGGATCACTACCATGTCCACAGTTTCGACCTTTTATTATGGAGCATGTAGCTCAGGAACTGAATGGCATAGATTCTAATTTTCCAGGGGCTCAACAAGCACTTGGACTCACAAATTTAAGTAATCCCAATCCAAGTTCAGTTCCACAGCTGTCAGCTGCCAATGGAAATAGAACGAACCTCTCAAATTCTGCTGCTGCAATCTCTCGACCTGGAAATGCAATAGCTGGACTCAACCGCCTAGCAAATGCTCTTCCAGGACCTACAAATCTGGCTGCCGTGAATCCATTACGTAGATCACCTGGCTCAGGTGTCCCTGCTCATGTTAGAGGGGAGTTAAATACTGCTATAATTGGACTTGGGGACGATGGAGGTTATGGTGGCGGATGGGTCCCTGTTGTGGCACTTAAAAAAGTCCTTAGAGGTATTCTCAAGTATCTTGGAGTACTCTGGCTGTTTGCACAGTTACCAGACCTATTGAGAGAGATCTTGGGATCAATTCTGAAAGATAATGAAGGTGCACTACTGAACTTGGATCAGGAGCAGCCGGCCTTGCGCTTCTTTGTTGGGTAATGCTATAAGCTTCATTTACATTCTAAGTTTCTCTGTTCATATAGCAAAGAAAATGTAGACTTTTAGGAAAAAAAAATTAGTTCTAGTCCGACAGGAAACAATTGGTTATTAGAAGTTTAAATTGGATTGCAAGGTCTTCCTTGATTAGTCAAAATTCCATGGACCAGCTTTCTTCTCATTCACTTCATCCAAATTTCTTGACTATCAAGAATTAGTGTCTTAGCCCCCATCATCGTCTGGTCCTCAAATGAACCTATTCGGTCTTTTCATTTCAATATTGAATTTTCCTATTCCGTTTCAAGGCCATCACTTAGTACTAGAAAGAAACCAATGCATCGTCTAGTTCATTTTTGCTTTGCTCCATGGCATCATAAAAGGAAAATCAATGCTTCCTCATTGTCGTAGGTGCTAGAGAACTCTTATTGGCCGGTTTCATCATCTCATATTCTTCAAAACCTTCTTCAGTTTCTGTGAACCCTCATCATTTTACTCAGATATACTGCTTTCATCTATTAGTGGCTGACTTATCTGCAGTTTCGTCAATTTGCAATTGCCAATTTACTCTCTCCACAAGGTTTGGTCTCTGATGTTTTCTGGTTGACCTTCTCACACTTGGCAAAGCTTGTGATGTCATCGAAATGCTTTCTTCTGGATCCTCTTTCTCCATTGGCCACCATCTGACCAACAACAATGACAACAAAAAACTAGATCTTTTCCCTATAAAGTTAGGGTTGGCAACATGATCTTTTCCCTTGTAGAATTTGATTTGGGCAGNAAAAATAAAAAGAAGCTATAAACTTCTCACTTGCCATATCAATACGTACCATGCAATAAGGGCTTGTTTGGCAGGGGTTTCAAAAAGCAACTTTTGAGACTAAAAAGTTACTTTTGAACATATTAAGATATTTTATTAAAAATACCATGTCTGGCTGGATAAGTTTTTAAAGGAGGCTATTCAAGTGCATGTTCGGTAGATATTAAAATCAATTTAAAATTTAAATATTAGTTGTTATTTTTGACTTTTATTAGCCTAGTGTGACCCAATAACGGCTATATTTTCAATTTTAATCCGAATTTGAGCTGTACCAAACAAGCTCTTAATATAAAATGAAATTAACCATACACTAATTTGCAAAGCTAGCTATCATTTTGTAAAATAGCCCTATAATAAATCTCTGCTATTGCATTTATTATATCGAATTCACGAAATACGTTGTTGATCCAAAGAAATTTTGCTTTTTACTTGCAAATGGAGACCCATCGATTGAATTTTCTTTAAACACTTTTTTTGTACACCTTTCATTAGCAAACCGATTTGTGGCTTGTTCTCTTTGCTATGGCATGCAATTTTCTGCCCAAGAATTGCCTAATAGCTGCATGATCTGATACAATAATATTTGTACATTCTGAGAACCCCCTTGTTCTTTACAAGACTTGTTATGGGCATAATTGAGTCCGATTCAGTCCATACAGTGCAAAAGTGCCAATTACAAGCAAAGTTGATGTTCATCGAGAATAGCACACCGCTTATCCACAAAGTTGGAGCTAGTTCCATAAGTCATAGAATGCACTAATATACTATCCTAGATGATAAAAAAATAAAGGCCCCTTTTGATGATTCCAGTGGTGGTTTGATCCATCTAATGATAATAGCTTTCTTAGGGCTGGGTTTGCTAACTGAAATGCCAAGACCTTTAGCAAGGTCCGAATCTCCTCTCTAAATTTGAGGTTTAGTTCTTATTCATCAGAAAAGGGAGGGAGTTGTGCGTGGTTTCTTTTATTGAAGAGAGATTTTGAAGAGAAGGCATGTGAATAGAGAGATGAATATAGAAAGATATAAAAGTGTGGTGAATAGAGGCACAAATATGAAATAGTATAAAATTGGAAATTGTATTTATTGGAAAGTGACGTAAAAATTTAGCAATGTATCGTTGTTACTAAGATCTTTTACTTCATAGAACTTTATTATTTAGTTATTGATATAATTTTTATTTTAAATTGATGAAAATTAATTTATGCCCATGAATTATGTTTGTGTGCTATGTTTTTAATTTATTTATTTTATTCTCGGGTTGCATCATGATTGACCCTTTGTCCTTTGACCTTTTCCAGTTCAATATCTGGACCAGGTTTTGAAAACATTGATATTCATAGATCCTTTGTGCAATTATATTATTTGTAAAAGAAGTTTGTACCTTCTAATGTGAAAGGACTCTATTTCAGGGGCTACGTCTTTGCTGTTAGTGTTCACAGAGTTCAACTTCTCCTCCAAGTCCTTAGTGTAAAAAGGTTCCATCATTCTCAACAACAGCAACAAAATGCAGCTGCTGCCCAAGAGGAATTAACTCAGTCTGAAATAGGCGAGATATGTGACTACTTTAGTCGTCGTGTTGCATCAGAGCCTTACGATGCTTCTCGTGTTGCTTCATTTATTACGCTTTTGACTCTACCAATTTCAGTTTTAAGAGAATTTTTGAAACTTATTGCATGGAAGAAAGGATTGGCTCAAGGGCAAGGTAATGATATAGTTTCTGCACAGAAATCCCGCATTGAACTTTGTCTTGAGAATCATGTTGGATTTAATGCGGATGGGAACTCAGGAAATTCATCTGCGTCCAAAAGCAATATTCAGTATGATCGGGCTCATAACTCGGTCGATTTTGCATTGACAGTTGTTCTTGATCCTGCACACATACCACCCATAAATGCTGCTGGTGGTGCTGCTTGGTTGCCATACTGTGTCTCAGTGAGATTGAGATACTCATTTGGTGAAAATCCTAATGTATCTTTTGTTGGAATGGAGGGGAGCCATGGTGGCCGTGCATGCTGGATGCGAATCGAGGACTGGGATAAATGTAAACAGAGGGTAGCCCGAACTGTTGAAGTGAATGGATCTTCTGGTGGGGATGCTAATCAGGGAAGGTTGAGGGTTGTTGCTGACAGTGTACAAAGAACACTGCACGTAAGCCTTCAAGGGCTAAGAGATGGCATTGGAATGACTTCTTGACTGATTAAACAAATGACAACACATTGCTGCTCAGTAATACTGTCTTAATGAAAGAAGCCAGCTTGTTTTCTCTTGAATCAACTACTACATCGTGTGCAATGCTGCTTACTTTTTCAGGACCTGGAGAAGTAAGAAAAAATTAGAATTGTCAAATGCTGACCGAAGAAGTTGCTGGGTTGTATACAGTTTGTTTGGTGTATGTGCTGGTGGGCTAACCCAGATTTAGATTCAGGTCGTGGTTTTGCCTTTGTACAGTTCATTTATCCGCTGTAAAAATTTGTTTCCTTTTATAATTTTGTACCCTTTGAACTGGCAAGTAAACTGGTTCCAATCCTTGTTGAAGAAACTCAAAAGTAGCTCATATTCAGATAGTAACCTAAGTAGGCGAGTGTTTGTTTTCATTCTATTCTAGCAAGGGGACATGGTTCAAATAGTTGAATTGAGTGATAATTTTGTAATTAGTGTCCAGGTGAATTATGGTTCTCGAGTAGATATGGTTAAACCGCTTGAGTATTAGTTTCAGTATGTATAAATATGATTGTAAGGAATAGAAGAAGCACATTTGGTAATGGGAAGCAGAGGTTTATTATAAAATCATTCTATAATTAATGCAACTGAACATCATTTACAGTAGTTTGCTCAGATTTATCCATTTATTCTGTGTATAATGCATGCTAGAAGCATTTTCCTTGGCACTGTAGTACTCCATCAATAAGCTATGATATGTAGAACTAAATAAGAACCATTCATGTCCTCCCTCCAGGAAATACTAGAGAATAAAAATGCTATGCTTCCGTTTGTTCAACATTCTTTTCTTCATTTTCAGAAAAAATTGTACCTTTGAAGGGCCACATCTGGCCAGTTCTTTTGACTTTCGCCCCACACTTCCCTTGAATTGAGTTACGTACTTACTTGAAAACTAATAAACCTTGATTCCAAGAAATTATATTTTCTACTTAAGACATTTACTGAGGAAGCAGAAGTCCTTTTGAAAGAAGCTATTCAGGAACAAATGGACCGGTTCCTACTTCATGAACAAGCATAACATAAAGAAATTGCTCACTTTTATCTTAATAAAAAACTAATCAAGTGTCTCGGATTCAAATTATGTAAAAAGTATGTTTTGCTATCGAAATCAAAAATATATTTCTCTTGAATTGCACGCTCCAACGGTACAATTTCTCATTCTCCTTGGAATAATGCCGTCCAAGCAGAGACTTTTTCTATCATTTGGGTCGAATATGATCCAATATGAAAGCTCTCAACTCTTATCATAGTTTGGTGCAATATGATCAAAAAAGGATTTAATGTCTGACACTATTAGGCTACAACAACTTATTATGTAACTAGAACAAGTGTTGCACAAGAAGCTATAGAAAGACAGCAGAAGCACGTCTACAAATTTAAGAACTCTCCATGCTTGAGACTTTGGCTTCGTGCTTCTCTTCTTCACTAACTCCCGTGATATTTTCAGGTGCCTCCAATGGAGAATCAGTATCCTTTTTCAGTTCTGTTTCAAATTCTTTTGCCGCCTGCAATTGGAAAATGTCAATAGTACACGCGCTTAATTATGTGTTGGTATATATATATATATATATATATATAT